AAGAAGCGGTAAATTTTCCTCTAAGAATGATGAAGGTTCGCGTTTAGGCATTTTCAACTTGTAAAATTTAATCGGTTGATGTGATTGGATGCATTAGATATTATATTTTTATAAAATAAAGCCTTAGCAAAAAAAGGCAAAAGACAAAGCAAATATAATTATTATTTTTTATTATTTACAAAAAAAAGAATTATACGGACTATTTTAGTTAATGATTCTCAATTTGTGGGAAAATTTTTACATAAATTCTAATTATCTGATTATCAGTTGATATCTATAGTAATCTTTATTCATAATCGAATCTTACTCTAATTTTTTATATATCGTGCTAAAAACGGATTCCTTTTGGTATAGTGGTCATTAGTATGATAATTCTTTTAAAAAAAAAGTTTATCCATCCCAACAATCAAAATACCATTTTTAATCCTCATGCCAACACATGTCACACTAAAATAATATAAAAAACTTTTATTATAGAATTCTCAAATAGAAAGAATGATACTATCTACAAATGTATAATTCTTTCACACAAAAGATATTAAAGATAATAGTTCTAGATCATTCATTTTTCATAGTCTAACGATTGAAACAATATAATTTGAACATAAAAAATTTTAGATTATCTATTTTTTTTTAAAAAAAAAAAATTTCATTAAAAAAGAAAAAAATAGGATTACAATAAATAAATTATCATAAATATTTTAATGTAAATAATTGTAAAAATATTTGAATTGACAAATTTTTTGATTTTCGATAACGCCACAAAATACGTATATGCAAAAAATTTTTAAGAAATAAAAAAAGAAAATGAATGAAGTAATAATAAAATATTGTATAAAATATAAATGTTTACCTTAATTCCTTTCAAATAACTAAGTCCCCATTTTTTATTTATCCTTAATAATAAATTAAGGCATAAAACGTCAAAAATTAATTCACACAATATTATAAATGAAAAACCAATCATTTTTTTTAATTCTCCTTCTCATTACTTGTATTTATTTATGTTTTGAAAAAATTGTCCAATAAATCATCTCATTCAAAAATATGCGGATTTGTGAATTATCTTTTGCATAAGGCTTAACCAATTTTAGTCAACAATGTAATTATTCATACTGTTAAATTTAATGAAAATAAAATTACTGACTGAATTGGTAAAAATGACGTATATGTAACAAGTTTAAATATTAAATAAAATTATTCTTTTCTTTTTTTCAATAACAATATTTTTTTTTACACATTGCACACAAAAGAAAGTTATCGATTTTGTATCGATTTTCAAAAGATAATAGATAATTTAATAATGAAATTGGTACCTCATCTTTATTTTCAACAGATAAACGTGTGCAATAATAACGATAATTAATGAGAACGGAAGATTATGGAAAAAGTTGTTGTTGAAGGAGAGATTATTGTTGATAAAATTGAAAGTCCAAACAATTAAAAATTTTCAATGAGGGGAAGTCATTGAAGTCCTTCAATGATATGATTAATTTTAAAAGAATAATATTGTAAAGATTGAATTTCAAGATATTCTTTAATCTTATCCCAAAAGATTATCGTTTGAAAATTAGAGCAATAATTTATTATAATAAAAAAAAAAAATAATAAGAAGAAAGATATGAATATCACCTGATTAAAAATCCCATAATGTTTGAATAGTAATAAAAAAAAACTTTCCGAATTTCTTTACAACTCCACGCGTCAACGTTTTCACCCAGTATTGTAAAGGGAAATAAAATTTTTCTTCTTTTTGTCTATTGGGTCACTCTAAGTGATGCAGATTAAGGATTTCTTTGTGGTATGCCTATGCATAGATAATATAAATTTGTGAAATTGTTTGGTTCACAGCAAAGGAACATTAAATTGTTTAAATTATTCAAAGTTATTCATTCATTTATTTTCAATTTATTCAAGTTATTTATTTCATTTTTTGAAATATTGTAAATGAGTTAATTAATAAATTAAAAGGGCAATTAATTAGATTATTGTCTATTCATATAACATAGCATAATACAAGAAATGCTCATCACATGAGATGCATATATGATTTGTTTATTTAAAATTATGTAATAATTACACTTTAGTAACTGTTACTGTTCTGCAAAAGTCAGTCACTTTAAAGTTATCCCAAAGATTGAAAAACATTTAAAATATGGTAATTTCTATATATACATTACATATAATTACATATCCTCTGCAATTAAAAAAATAAAATAAGAATAATACATTAGATAAACATTAGAAATTTCCCACATCAAAAGATAAATTATACAATCGATCTTTTTATTCTCTCACATAATAATAATTAATTAATAACAAATTTTTTTTTAGATAACTGATGATAATAACTAAAAAATTAAAAATAATCATTCATCGAAAAGAATATTTTGAATTTTGGACCCGCATTTTGTGTGTATAGTAAGTGATTCGATAATCAATTCAAGTAAAAAATAAAAAAAAAATTAAAATTAAAAAAAAAAGTAAAAAAATAATTTTGTTATTTTTAATTATTTCTTCCAAAATTATTAGAATACTGTATATATTTCTGGATATATATTATTTATATCCGATAATTAATTCTTAAAACAAAGAAATTTTTTAAAAAAAAAAACTTTGTCGAAAATACACAAAAAAAAAAAAAATGGAAAATGTAGAAATAATTTTTCCATTTCTTACTGCAGCGATTGCTTTCTCTATTGTGTTCTTTATCTATATGATCGGTATGAGAACATCTAAGCTACCTAAACAAATATTGATATATAAAGAACGACATATAGAACAGCAAGGAGGAGAACAACGTAGAGAAGTCAAAGTCAATAAAGGAGAGCACAAAGTAGGATAAAGTAATTTGTGGGAAAATTGAGGATTTAAATCAATAAATAAATAAATTTTTTTAAAAAAATGGGAAGTCACATTTACATTTTATTTGATTTTTCTTAATTTTCTTAATCTATATTCATTTTTCTTAATAATAAAATATTTTTTTTTTGCGAAGAAAGGAAGGAGAATTAATTCTTTTTTGTAAATATGTAATAAAAATTAATGTTGGATTTAAAATACACTATAATTAATTAATTACATTGTTAAATATGTTGCCGTAAATGTGTCATCTCATCGAATTATGAATCGACAACTTTTTTTATATTTTTTTTAAATTTATTTATTTTTTTTTAGGAACACAAAAACAAAAAAAAAAAAATTCAAATAATTCAATAAAATTCTTCGAGGATGACTCGAATTAGAATAGCCATCACGATGAGAGGTGTAAGTAAATGAATTTGATTATATTGTTAATCTAATGTTATATCGTTATTATTTATTATTTTTTATTATCAAGATTCGTCTTATCTCTTAGAACTTAATAATTGTTATATTATTCATTATTATCTCTTTTCGTCTATTATTATATATATATATATATTTTTTTTTAAAAAAAAAGCTTTCTCAACCAGCTTAATAATTTTATTCACCGTACCAATTATCTCAATCGTCTATATATTGAAATTTTATTTCCCGAAGGAATAATTTCTTCATCATAATAATCATCACCACCACCTTCATATTACCATCCTCACTACTTCTTCGATGATAATAACAAAAGTGCGAATAATGGTGGTGATGATGATGATGAGATACTTTTTCTCATACCATTAGAGAGAGAAAGGGAAGAGAGAGAGAGAAAGTATTGCATCAGCTTACTTGGATTGATTTATTTCTACCATCATATGTTGATAGCATTGATCGAACTCAACGTAACGAACGGATTAGACGACGATTAATTAATAAAAAACGAAAGAGAAACTAAAAATAAAAATTACGATTAAATGATCGAATAAATAATGGAATTGAAGAAGGAACCAATGATGGAATTGATAGAATAGATTATTATAAAATAAGTAAAGGGATAGAAGATGTGTGTGTAAAGATCGATGAATTTATTTTCTTCGTTATCGATATCAAAGATTTCATTTCAAAGTAGAGTAGATTTAGTAATTTTTCGAATTTTTTTCGGAATGGATTATAAATTAAATGAAGACGGTAATGAAAATGAAGAAGAGGAAATAAATGATAAAGATGAGAAATTTGGAATTGAACTGATAATTAATGTGAAAAAAAGAAATAGATTTGAATTTTAATCGAATAATATCAGATATTATAAAGAATGCGTCATTTTATATTCTAAATTTAAAATCTTCTGGTGTTTTTATCTCTATAACGGCAGACTAATATATAAAAATTGAAAAATATTTTGACAAAATAATTTTTTGTACAGTATTCATTTAATTTTAAATTATTTTTCTCGAATCTTTCGTAACTATTAATAACTACAAGATGAAAAAATTTATATTATATTATTATTTATATTATTATTAATATTTTATTAGATTAGATTTCTTTAAATTTTGTTTCTCCCAAGAAATAAATCAATTATCTTATTCAAAATTCCATTTATTGAATTTACTATTCAATATCTATTCATATATTCTCTTGATTCATGTTTAGAATATTCTGTATAAAAATTTCTTTCTTGATTCTTATTAAATTTTCATCCGTATTATTATTGATAATTTTTATTATCATCAATGTATACAAGTATACCTTTTAATGTAGTAGTGGCGCAGTAAATAAATAAATTTACGGAAAAAACCTAAAAAAATGATCGACTTGGCTTTTTTGATTAAAATTTTTTCTCTCTCTGAGTTTTTTTTTTTTAGTTTATTGTCGTTAAATTTTTGTTGTTTATTTCGTTCGTTTCGTTTCGTTGTTTGTCGTCTTCGTCCTTATTACCATCAATACTCAACTCACTTTACTTGTACTGGGTATTTTCTTTTAGTAAGTGAAATTCTCATTATTTTTCTGAGATACAAACAATGCAATGTAATATAAAATTTGTTTCTTAAAACGATCATCGGTGAAATATATAAAAAAAAGAGGGTTAACGAGTCGAATATTTATTTTGTTTTAACCTTTTACACACCACATAAAAAGTTAAAAACATGTCTACTGAACAAGAAGCACCCAATAACTTAGGTCATAATGTTCTCTCCGGTCTACATAAACGATTACATTCTCTTGACTATACAGACGAAGAGTCTACCAGATCCAACAATAACAATAATAATAATTCTGTGGAGCAACAGCCACAATTAACACAACAACGTGAATCGGAATATATTCGAATTCCCAAGAAACCTAGAACTTCAACTTATTCTTCAATGACTTCAACTAAAGGAACAATGAATAAAGCTATGACCTCTAAGGCAACAAATTATAAAACTTCAAATTTCACAGCAACAAATTCTAAAGGAACTTCTTCCAAATTAATATCACGAACCACCATCATCACTAACAACAGCAGCAACAACAACAACAACAAAGGAAACAGCAATAATATTAAAAAGCAAATAATTTCACAACGACCACGACAATGTCAACATCCTAAACATTCAATTTATGAGTTAAGTTCTGTCGCCGTAGCCAACATCAACAGAAACAATAGCATCAAAAAATTAACGGATAATAAAAATAATAATAAGAAAAAGCAGAAAAAGTCCAAAGGGGATGCCGGGGATGTTCTCGGCAATAGATTGTATAGCGTTTATAAACGTTTTGAAGGTCTTTTCAATATTGGAAGCAACGCTGTGATGTGTAGAAGGTGTCTTCATAGAACTGATAAAGACCCTGAGGTATTTAATTTTAAAAGATTTAATTTTTAATTTTTTTTTTTTTTAATTTAAAATTACTTCTCAAACAATTTTAAATAAACTTTTTTCTCATCACATATATATATATATTTATATTTTAGTACACATTAAATCCAAAATATGTCTCTGCAAAGTCTATTTACAAAGTTAATGAACGAAAGAAATTAATTATTGAAATGAAAGGAGTGGATTTAGATTAATAAATTTAAATTTCCAACTATTTAATACAATACACTCTCTACCTTAACACACACTCTCTCTATCGTCGTCTCTCTTTTCTCTCTTTTTTTTGCTTCTATTTTGTGTGATATTTTTGTTGCTGTTAATGTGATCTTTCTCTAAAAATGTTATTCCTATAATAATTAAAAAAAAAAAATTTTTTTTTCCTAATTTTTTGCTTATTATATATATTATTAAATATCAATTAAAAATTTTATAATAAAATTATTTTTTTTTTGCTCATTAAAATACAATATCCGTTATCACATAAATATATGTATCTATATAATCAATCATTGTCATCTTTGTTGATTACTGTATTTTTTTAGGTAATAATAATAATAATCTGTTATCTTTAATTTCACAAAGTTGAAGGAATTACCTTGTATGGTTAAGGATAAAAAATATAAAAAAAGAATTTAATCTCGATACCTGTCTATAAACATACAAGTATAAGCATATCCTGTCTTTAAGCACACAATTTTTCTGGCCCAAGGTCACAAGATTTATATATAATACATATGAAGTAACCTATCCTGTTTAAATGCATAGGCCCGAGGGTATGCTTATAGACAGGTTCTACTGTATATTCTTTATCAGATCATATGACCTTTAGGATATCATTTATTCAAATATTCCTTACTTTTACAGAAAATTAACATTATATACCACCGTCGTTCGTTTAAATATGAATGAGGAAATAAATGATGATGATGAACGAGATTCAATTCAAAAAAGTTTTCAGATAAAAAAAGATGTAAGAAGTTGTTATTAATTATAATAAAAAAATCACAAGTCAAAAAAAAAAAAATCAAACATCGGCTAACCTAATAATTGTCAATGTGGGACATTTATATAATTTCTTGAGTTGAAGGTAAGGTGACATTTTTATAAAAAAAAAAAATTCTAAAACTAGATTAAGACTAGTTAATGAAAAAATTTTTTAAAAGTCCGGAACGTGTAAATAAAATGTAATGCTTTTTTGATCCAGTGAAAAATCAAGATTTAAGCAAACTGATTGTTTGAAGTTTTAGAGTAATAAAAAATGATCTTTAAAATTTTTTGATAAATTATCTCAAGATTTTTCAGAACTTCGTAATGATCAAAAAGAATATAATTCTGTCATCAAATTTGATCAAGAAGAAAATAATAAATCATTTACTGCACACTCTGTTGTCTTACGTTATCGTTCATCCTACTTTGATAAATAATTGGGAGAGCATGAAAATAAATATCAAAACTATTATTAAACCAAATATTTCTGCTCCTCTATTCGAAATTATTCAAAAGTAAAGTAAAAAAAAATTATTTATTACTTTAAATATTTAAATTAATTATAATGTGAAATTTTATGTATATACAGTATATATGGTGAATTATCAATATTGAAAATACGGATACGCAAACCATTTATGAATTAATGATTTTTGCTAATGAATTAGAGCTTGAAGAACTATCAGGAAAATTAGAAAAGTTACCTTATTGAATCTAAAGTTTCTTGGTAAAAACTCATTTCTCCTTTGTTCATCGTTCAATATTTGATAGTAATGAATTTCCAGGTTTGAAAAAATTTTGTAATGATATTATTGCAAAGCATCCAAATTTGATTTTTGAATCAGAAGATTTCACATTACTCCAAGAAACAGCATTAGTTTCTATTTTGATAAGAGATGACTTGAATGTCGAAGAAAATTTGGGACAAAAATTATGTACTTTTAATGCTTATAACTTTTAATATAGGCTTTTAATATAGGCTTTTAATTTACTTTTTTAGATTTTCTTCTCTTTTAAAGAGTACAATTTTTGTCGAGTATAGACTTCTGGCACCATATAACTAGAGCAACAATACATTTTTGATTTGGTGAAACAATTTGCTTAAATATGTAGCGAAGGTTATCAGCAACATCAGGTTAGGCTTAATAAACGTTAATTATACATGTTCTAATAATAATACGTTCTTGAAATTTTTAATAAATTATCTCAAGATTTTTTGGAACTTCTAAATGACAAAAAAACGTAACATTTCCGTTCCATACGAGAAATTATACGCTTTTTATAATTTATTTACCACATTTGTTTTGGAATTTACAAACCTCTTGTCAAATTTATCATATAGTAATCAAAAATGCAGAAACAATAATTAACCTCGAGCGAATGATACCTGAACTTAAGGATTTGGCAAAGAAGAGTATATTTATAAAAGTACATTATAAAATTCTCAGCACAATCAGCATAATTTACTCTTGGTGCAGGGTTAATAATGAATTAGTATCTAATTATATTTAGAAAGAAATAAAAGATATTATCAAATTTTAAAAAAGAAGACCAAAGATTTTTGAATATGAAATGAATTAGAAAAGATAGTTTAGACAAATTATATTATAAAAATAAAATTATTTGATAAGGCACAAAAAGGATATCTAATTATACCATTACCCAAAGAATTTATTACAATTATGATCGTGCCGTCAAAAAATCTAGTGACGACACTTTCTTATGGCATAAATATATAAAATTTGTCAAATCATCGGGAACCGAGTATTTTATTTTAATAATAACTTTATATGTTAACATTGATGCAATGGCCTCAGTTGAACGTTGGAAGGAAAGTTTTAAATTAGAGTTATCATAGATTAAAGCTCGCCGTACAATAATTTTATTAGATCTAATAAAAGAAGTGAAAGAAGAAGTCGAGACGGAATCCAATAATATGGACGATGATAGAATAAATTAGGCATATCCAAATCAAATCATTTATCACCATCACCATTGTCGTAATTCACCATCATCATTATCATCATCATCATCGCTTAATTAAAAAAAAAAAAAAAAAAAAAGAAAATTAATTATGAATTGAAAATAAATATAATAAAATATAATTGATACTTACTAGAGTTTATTTGATAAAAAGATTTGTTAATTTTTCAAGTTTTTTTTTCAAAATTTTCTTCATTTTAGGTTTTGGAAGATTTGAAAAATTGAGAAGTCTACTGGTATAAATTGCCTGTGGGAGTATTACATAATTCATTGGAGTTGTAGTTGTTGTATCAATCTTTAATTTGAATTGTAATTTCGTTATTATTGTTCAAATCATTTTTCTTATAATCCTTCCAGTATTTAATCAACTCGTTATATAATTCATCGAAAGTGGGTCGATGTGTAATTCGGGCATCCCAACATCACATAATTATTTGTGTAATTAATTTAGGCATGTGAAATGGAATTTTTGGTCGAAATCCATTACATATATTAAAAGCCAAATATTTATCATGCGACACATCGTGATACGGAGGAATTCCAGTGATGATTTCATAAGCAAAAAATGCAAATGAATAAACATCAGCAGCCTTTATGTATTCTTCCCCTTTCAATACTTCAGGAGCTATATAGGGTAATACTCCAGAAATGGTATTCTTTTGAAGATTTTTTTATGTTTGCTGTAATTAATTTACTCAATCCAAAATCTGATATATATATAGAATTAGAAAAATAACTATTTTTTAAAATATTCCCGGGATGAAAATCACGATGAATTATATTTAATTTGTGAATCTCTGAAAATTTATAAGCCAAATCTATTAAATGTTCTAATCTATTTTCCCAATTGATATAATTAAAATGATTATTTAAATAATTTCTAAGACTTCCACCTTCATAATAATTTAAGACCATCATATATTCGTGAGTTTTTGGATCTTTTGTAATTCCATAAAGATAGGCTAATGACGATCCACCATTTGTTCTCAAGAAAATTACCATCTAAATAACATTTTTTAAATTACAATAAATATATTATGCATTTTCAATAAATTTAAAATATTACTTTACCTCATTCAAAAAATTCTCATTTATATCTACAATACCATCAAACTTTTTTAACGCCACTTCACATTGACTAAATCTTTTCCATTGTTTATTTTCAATGTCCCAATCTTTAATGCGTCCATTAATCTACTTAGCATAATAAATAGTACCATAGCCACCTTTTGATATTTGTTTAATATCTTGAAATCTATCATAAGGTATCCATTCGATTAATTTAATATAATCAGCGTTTAGTTGAGTATCTTGAATAAGTTTATTTATTGTATCATTTCCGCTTGTCCATTTATCAAAATCATTTTTGAAATGTTTTGAGTTGCAAGGTTTGCACCAATAATCATCATTATTATATTTTCCATTGAATTCTAGGCATATTTCAAACATTTCTGTTCGCTTATAGTACGTAAAATGGAAGTTTATTATTTTTTTTAATTAAAAAAAAAAATAAAAAATAATTTTGGGTATCAATAAATTTTTATAATGTTTTTTTAAATGCATACTATTGTCACGTTCTGTGCAGAACAAAGCGAAAGTTACACCAATCAGTCTCAAATTTATCACGTATATATCACTAACA